AAAGAGTGCTAGCCTCATATTCATTGCTATATCTTGTAAAATATTCAGGTATGAATCTTTTGCCATCTCCTAAGTTATACCAAACTTTAACTTTTGTCCTCATAGGATTAGTCGTCTCCAATTTTTTTCCCTCAAACTTTAGATTTTGCATCATGCAATGGAGTCTACCAACAAAAATATCAATCAACTAGAAATTTTGACTTTTAAAGCAATTGTTACAAAAAGTTTATAATTTTCAATATGCCGTAACATATGAATACATGACAGTCTAAAACATTTTTACTTGCCATTAAATTCATCAAAATATGGCTTCATAACAGATTCTTAACATAAAAGTTAATGTAATTTTATATCCCTATTAGAATTTTCTTCATTTTCATTTGTCCTTACCTTTTATCATATTGCTAGCAGGATGTGTCTCTGACCTACCATCGTTAGAAAAAGACTCACTCACACATCTCAGAAATCTCTCCCTAGTAACGTGGACGGCCAATGAGCTCATCTCAATCTTCTCAAAAATCAGTTGGCAACTAAGACAATGATTAGCAAGCTTCATCTTGTTGCATCTTTCAATGTTCTTTCTTTTTCTCACAAGTGCGATTGTAATCATCCTTCAGTCATGTATAGTTGAATATAGTTTGAAAGGAAATGGAATATTTTATGGACAAAACTTAGTTATATTGTTATTATTCTCTAATCAGAATTAAAATTTTATTCTGATATTATATATAAATATATATTATTGATATCTACATTAAAAATAACACCAACGATACCTATGATGACGTCTTTAAGTTTTATATATATATATATATATATATATATATTATTTTTATCAAAAGAAACAAAAATGTGTTTTCTTCGTATTATATGATTATATCCTATGGTTTACTTTTCTGAAAAGCTTGCTTAGCCAAATAAAGAAACTAGTGAAAAATATGGAAGAGAAGGGGCGTATAAAAGTGAGTTCAGTGCTGGAACATGTCCAACTTAGCTTGGTCTCGATCTCAATGTTCTTTTGTTCCTAGATTACAAAATTTGTAGTAATGTCACACTGGTTTTTTCGCTACCTCACGTGGGTAACAGAGAGGATAAAGAAGACAAAAGGGTAAACTTCAAATTTTATTTTATTTGTTTACACATGGATAACAACTTATCTCTTTCTTTCTTAGTTCTTCATGTGCAATTGTTTGATCCAGAATGCGACGGGGTGAGCATCCATCTCTTCATATAAACAGAATCTCTTGCAATAAAAAAAAAAATCTTCATTTCTTGTCAAGAATAGCAGACAAACTGCTTCGAATAATTTGACACATTATTGGATACTTATGTGAATGTGATATAATCATTCATTATAAGAAACCAATTTGGTGGAACAGTTCTTTAATTTTTTCGTAAGATCCAACCTTGAAAGTTGGCTTTTAAGACTTATATATGATATGACCATTTTGAACTGTGACAACACTTGCATATAAATCTTTACGTGTTTTTAGTATTAATTAGAATTTAAATTTCATTTGAGTAACATATAACACTTAATTGAACAAACTTCTTTAGAAATACTTTTAGAAGAAAAAAAATATGTTTTTTTATAAGTTAAAATTAATTTATAAAATTTGTAAAAACATTATCATATAACTTTTTCAAAAGATTAAAAATAAATTTATGTATTAGTTCGTTTTAACTTATAAAAAAAGTTATTTCATTTTTTTTTATATTTCTTCCTTTCAAAAGTATTTATGAATAAGTTTATTAAAACATGTTCTAAAATCTTTAATATAAATGTTTATTGTGCATATTATAGAAATGGAATTTTAATGTTGAAGTCATTAAACTCATGTGAACTATAATATAGGTAAAAGTTAACATGGTCATATCATGTAAGACATAAAGGACATAAAGGCCAATGTTTTTTTAGGTTGGATCTTACGGAAAAAAATTAAAGTATTGTTCCCTAAATTGGTTTCTTATAATGAATGATTACATCACATTCACATTAGCATTTAATTATGTTAATCTCTATCTTATTGATATATTATAGTTTCCCTTTTATCTAAAGAAAAAATAGAAGTTATTTAATCAGCATTAGCCAATGAGAATTCGCTCAAAAAGGGAAAAAGTATTAGCCAATGAGAATATACTCAAGTACTTCAAAAGTTAGATGTTTGGGATGATTTCTCTTTATTCTTAATCTCAATATTTTTTGGTGACATCTCTAATAAATATATAAAACTATTATAGAATTTACATCTAACTTTTCACATTTTAAAGTTGAAAAGAGTGTTGACACTCTAGTTTATTGACTCAACTAAAGGAAAGTTAAACTAAATAATTGTTCTTCACTTGAGTGATATTTTCAATGGAAGCGTGCATGTAATAGGGTTTAGGGTTTAGGGTTTAGCGTGTACTTATGATAAATACTATATCAATCACCAATCATTCTTTAATTATGATGTCCTCATGAAGAAGACAAATAAATATCCCTTGAGTACAAGGGCTCACAAATCACAATCAATTTAATGTTATCTTTCATATACCTTTCATTATCTATTAACAATATTTTATTGGTAGTTCATAAATGACACTTAATAAAGGGTTTAAGATTTAGACACGCTCTACTGTATTATTAGTTAAAATTTATTAAAAATTATATAATTATGAGGAAAATTTATTAAGTAAAAAGTATAATTTATAAAAATATAATATTTTTTTAATAAATATTTGATCGATAATAAAAAATATATTTGCTTTGACCTTAAACATATTAACAATGTTAGAGTCAATACATTCAAGATATTATTTGTTTTAAAATTTGTTGGACTGGCATATATTTTATTCTTAAAAAGTAAATTAAGAGAAAATATTATTTATAAATTACTTTCACTTCAACTTTAAATGATGTGAAATTTTTTACAAAATAGAATTGTAGAACAAGATCACAATTAAAATTATGAAACATGAATAATTTAAGTCTTCTTTCTAGTGTCGACAAATGACAAAACAAAATATATTTCATATATTATAACTCTAACAATGTCATCAAACTTAAAATCAGTATAGTAATTATAAAAGTGTGTTGTTAATATTGTTTTTTCTTACTTAGATAATTCCTTCTTGTCTTCTAGCCTCAAGCATCATCCAACAGGGGGACCCCAATGCATTGTTGCTAAGTGTCTCTCGATTGGACCAGAAAACTTTGCATCACAAATCAATCAACAAATGTTAGATATATGTGCCGTGTGTTGATTTTGGAATAAGTTGTGCAACCATTATGACAATGGCTGC